TGGCAAAGACTGCCATTCCCGCATCGGACTTTACAGTCACAGCAGATGCTGTTCCCAAAGCCAGCGGCACATCTCCATAGTCTCCCGGGACTGACGGATGCCATTATTTGATTCTATAACTGCTGAGCAGTGAAGGATCACTGCCTGGTTTTAGAAATGGTTTAAGATAACTATGTAACTAGTAATCTGATACATTTGGATACTATCATAAAGTCCCTCACCACTCGTAGAATTTCATCATTACTTAACTGTTTGATATGGCCATAGCCTACACCGTCATTATTTCTGCTGCCTCGCAGTGCCACCTGTATGTCAATTTCAGCCAGCAAGGCTTCATAATCGTTGTCTATGACAATGCTATGCCTGAGATTGTCTACAGTGTTGCGCGGATCTGTCCAATTGTCTATATCTATTTGGATTAAATACCGCCGAAAAAACTCTTGCCCCTTCTCCTTGTCAATATTTTACCTCCTGAATCTTGAATATCTGGCATTTGACAAATGGTACTTTTATTCAATTGTCGGTGCAAATTCCAGAATTCTGCTATGCCAATGTCTTTTGCTTTCCATGCCTTTTCCACCTGTTCATTCCACCATGCTGGTTGCACCAAATGTTGTTTTTTGTATCTTTTGTCTGGCGCAACAAATGCAATGTACCAACCTGATCTTTATTGGCTGAATATTTGAACATGTGTCATGGTTTCATTTGCTTAACAGTCTGTCCCTTTGTGAAGAGAACAATATAAGGCAGATGGTCACTTTCTTGCGTCCCAAGAACATCCCAGCGTATTGTGCAAGCCTCAGTACTGGACGCTAAAGCTAGGTTGATCACTCCATCCGAGCCTCGGCGCTCTTTGCTAATCTTGTGGCACGACCATCATTTAAAACAGTGAAGCTAGTGCTTAGAAGGGCCTGACTCAGTGTAACTCCCTGTCTGTTTTCTGCCTGATTTCCCCACTATTTAGATGGAGCATTAAAATCACCAGCTATGAAACATTTTCCATCACACTCCTCCAAATCTGCTAGGCTAGGAATTTACCTGCGCCTTCATTCAGAAGTTGATTCAAATGCGCATATAAGTTGAAGATGTACCAGTCGTGGTGGTCTTTGGGAACAACTAATCCTTGAATCTTAAGCATTTCACTATTATAAGCTTCTTACCAGCAATCAATTGCGGAAGTTCGCAATTTAAGTCGCCGGAAGTCCGAAATTGACATGTGACTTAAGCCCTGTTAGGGTATATTTTCGGCCTCGATAATTTGGGACCGTTATTCGGAGAATAACCTCCAGCAGTACCCTCACAGGCTCTCCTCCGAACTTCTACCCCGGCATTATGGCGGCCGAACAAATATCCTTACGGGGCTCAGTCCTATAAAAAATATGTGAACTTCCGGCGACGAACAAATCACAGCAAAACTAGGGTTACCTGACAATTTCAAGAGACGCAACACTGCAGATGATAGTAGCAGACGATAATGGCGACCGTTGACACTTTCGAGCGTTTCTGCAGACAATACTAGCGACCATTGACAATTTCGAGACACGCAACATTACTGACGATATCAGCCACATGGCCGTGAGACCATGTGCGCCGACGCAGATTAGTATCATTGTTGTCCTCAAACTTTTTGGCATGCGCAAAACGCGGTTACACTCAACGCCGACAGTATCCCCCGCACCGCTACGCGCGACGCGGATGGGAGGCTAAACTAGGTGCCTGGGACTCAGGAGCAAATTAATTGGAGGAAGCTGCAGGAGATGCTGTAGCTGCTGCTTGTGAGTCACAGCCATCTAGTTTAGCCCCCATCCGCACCACGCGTAGCGGCGCGGGGGATACCGTCAGAGTTGAGGCATAGTCACAGAAACAGGTCCGCAATTAACATATCGCTGAGACCCTATTAGAGCATTTGTTTCGTTATACGGAGCCGATCCTATTTTTGCTGCGATTCGTTCGTCGCCGGATGTTCGCATATTTTTAAGGATATTTGTTGCCGCCATAATGCGGGGGTAGAAGTTCGGAGGAGAGCACCCTCACTCTTTGCTGGGGAAGGGACTTAGGACATAACATCCATCAGCCAAAACTCGCCCCTACACCGCCCTTACTGCCTTCGTTAACGACTGTACGCTCAACGGCCATGCAGTTCTTTGGAGTGAAGGAAATATCTTGAACTTGAGTTACGGACTGCCGACTTCCTACAAGAAGATATATGTGTGCTACTGATGTAGTATGTACAATAGCCAAATTACCATCTGACAGTATTAGTACTACTCAAATTCACAACTCGCAAACCCAAAGATATATAATATAATATTTAGTAGTATAGTAGTATTATTAAATATATAAAATAAACGGCTCTCCTCCGAACGGCATCATAATATTATGGTTGCCATAAAATATCCAAAAATATCTGAATGGGGCTCAGTTCTATTAAAAATATGCCGGCTCCGTATAACGAAACAAATGCTCTAACATGGTTTCAGTGATATGTTACTTGTGGACCTGTTTCTGTGACTGTACCTCACCGCCGACTGTATCCCCATATCGCGTTTTGCGCATGCTGAAAAGTGTGAGGATACAGGTCGGCAGGTCTGACATCTACCGCTGCTAAATCCTCAATCGGACGAACAGTATTGCTAATCTGTGGGGGAGCGCTTGGTCTACCCGCCATATCTCTTTCATCGTCTGTAATTAGCGACTACAGTTTCGACAATTTGCGGTCTTTTTGGCAATTTCCGTTACCATGGAAACCGTTTGAAACTTGTTCGGGAAATGTCGGCTGGGGTTTCGGGATGGGTCCTAATCTCTCATGAAATTTTGCGATTGGTGTGATTTACACCAATTATGAACAGCCTAAAACGGCGGGAACGAACCCGATTAACAGCGCATGTCTATGACAGCCGGACGTCCTCTGTTTTTCTGTTACATTGGTTTGATTGAAAATAGCGCTAAGTATTCACGGTTGGCTTTAAGGCCCTAAACATTACCAGACATAGTAATGCTAGTTATAATTGAATTCTCCGTCCAATTTTACATTTGTGTATAAAATTTCTTTCTTATCTGTGGCTGTTTCGTTTTACAGTGACATTTTTCATGCAATCGCTATTATGTGGCTGTGTCTGAGAAAAATGGTCTGCCATCTTGTCCAATGAAAACAAAGCCAAAACGAAAGTTGCGCAGTTTGGTTGCACAGAGAAAACTTACTTGTTTCTCAGACACAAGTTTTAGCAGCTGTTTTTTACATCTCATCTCCACAAAAACCTACATATCTCAGCTCAGAAATGACATACAAGGCTAAATGAGGTACCATTGGAAAGAGATCATTTACAGCTATCTAACTGTGCTGGTTTTATTGGTGTTGAGGGCATTTTAAAAATTTGACTAAAGTACCTAGTAATGTCTCGAAATAGACAAAGGTCGCTATTTTAGCCACTACAGTTTCGGAAATTTGCGATCTTTTCGACAATTTCCGTTACCATAGAAACCGTTTGAAACTTGTTTCGGAAATGTCGGCTGGGGTTTCGGGATGGGTCCTAATCTCTCATGAAATTTTGCGATTGGTGTGGTTTTCACCCACTCTAAATAGCTGAAAACGGCGGGAAGGAACTCGATTAACAGCGCATGTCTACGACAGCCGGACGTCCTCTGTTTTTCTGTTAGTCATCAGTTTGATTGAAAATAGCGGTAAATTCGAGGTTGGCTTTAGGCTTTAACTGTTACTGTACCTGGTAATGCTAATTATAATTGAATTCTCCGTCCAATTTTACATTTGAGTATAAAATTTCTTTCTGGTACGTGACATTTTTTAGGCAAACGCATGCGGCTGAGTGAGCTGAGTCTCATTGCCTGCCATCTTGTCCAATGACAGTCCAATGTCAACAAAGCCGATACAGAACTGCACAGTAGGTTGCGCAGAGAAAAACTTCTTGTTTCTGGGTCACAAGTTTTAGCGGCTGTTTCTTACATCTCATCTCCACAAAAACCTACATATATCAGCTCAGAAATGACATACAAGCCTAAATGAGGTACCATTGGAAAGATATTGTTTACATCTATCTAACTGTGCTGGTTTTACTGGTGTAGAGGGCATTTTAAAAATTTTACTGAAGTAGCTAGCTATTTATTATCGTCTGCAGAAACGCTCAAAATTGTCAACGGTCGTACTATTTATCGTCTGCTACTACCGTGTGCAATGTTGATATTGTCAAGTAATCCTAGTTTTGCCGCGATTTGTTCCTTGGCAGAAAGTCCGTATTTTAGATATGCCTGAGCTAGCGACTACGGTGTCGGCTGGTTTTGGGATGGGTCCCAATCTCTCATGAAATTTTGCGATTGGTGTGATTTTAACCAGCTATAAATAGCTGAAAACGGCGGGAACGAACCCGATTAACAGCGCATGTCTAAGACAGCCGGACGTCCTCTGTTTTTCTGTTACATTAGTTTTATTAAAAATAGCAGTAAGTATTCAAGGTTGGCTTTAGGCTTTAACATTACTCATACTGGTAATGCTAGTTATAATTGAATTCTCCGTCCAATTTTACATTTGTATATAATATTTCTTTCTTATCAGTGGCTTTTTAGATTTACAGTGACATTTTTCAGGCAATCGCTATTATGTGGCTGTGTCTCATTGTCTGCCATCTTGTCCAATGCAAATAAAGAAAGCCAAAACAATAAGTGCGCAGTTTGGTTGCGCAGAGAAAACTTCTTGTTTCTGGGACGCAAGTTTTCAACAGCTGTTTTTTACATCTCATCTCCACAAAAACCTACATATCTCAGCTCAGAAATGACATACAAGCCTAAATGAGGTACCATTGGAAAGAGATTGTTTACAGCTATCTAACTGTGCTGGTTTTATTGGTGTAGAGGGCATTTTTAAAATTTGACTAAAGTATCTACCTGAGCCCCGTTCAAATATTTTTGGATATTTTATGGCCGCCATAATATTAATATTATGATGCCGTTCGGAGGAGAGATAAACTAATAATAATAAAAACACTTACAGTGTGCTTCCAACTCCCCCAGTATTTGCCTGGCTCAGAACTTCTGATAGAGCTCTAGGTTTTAGCATGTTAATTCGTTCCGTAATATTAAAATTGACGTATGTTCTTCTATTGTTTGCACCCGCTTCAGGGTAGAAGGATCACTGGTCAGTGTAAGCCGTCTGCTGATTGTCACATTCACACAGGAAGTATCAGTCGACTTCATCAGATGACTATCATTACGAAAACCGTTACAAATTGATATAGGTTTACCATAATCCAGACACTGGAGGAGCCGGACTTTTTTCAAAAATGACTTTGGCTGCCAGGTCGACCCAGCCTTGAGTGGGTACCGGGTGCATTCCCGGAAAGTAGAGGCGGCTGGCGTGATGCTGACCATATCACCCATCTTGTGCCAATTGGTCTATAAAGAATATAGGTCTAGCCCTATATGCCCTATACGCCTAGAGGCGTGGAAACTGGTACTTTACTTTACTATAATCCAGACATGTCCATTGGCGCTCAGATCCCCCTTCAACGTATTCATCAGCGTCGCTCGGTTTATAGTTCCAGTCCTATGTTGATTAATAAGATTTCACAAGACTTCTCATTCTTGGCTGTGATGATCTTCACTTCTAATTCTCGTATTCTTAGCAGTGCTGTGCACACGTTGCCTCGATAATCCTCGAAACGTCTTTCCCTCTAAAGGCATTGACAATGTCTGCACGATCCATAAACTGGCAATCTGCAAATAATGCAGAACATGCAAATCTATCAGCTCTTACGTTGCCAACACTTGCACCCTGGGATAAATATGAAAGTAGCTGCACACACAGGAGAAATTTCCAATAACTCAATCCACTGTCTGCGAATAGAGTCTGCATCGACCCTCTCATAGAAACACACAGAACAAACACGTAGGAATAATCCTGTTATTCTAGCCACATGAAAGCAGTTGTCGCTGTCATAACCTCCTTAGTCATACTGTCCGTAGTCGTGGAGAAGACACTACTGGCTTCCTGGACTGTGTCTGCCTGCAGAGCGAGCTGCAAATGCCAACGTAGTCTGTGCCCTCGTTCAACGGACATGTCTGTATAGATCAGCACATCTGGCTCATCTGACATGTCACTGATAAACGCGCAGACCTCAGTGTTGACAGCGGGGATTTACTCATATCAAGCGTGACTTCACAGAAAAAGGGGAGATGAAACTTGTATCCATTCTTTACTAGGGTGGATGACTGTTAGACTGCAGACCCGTTTGAAATCATCCTCTGCCCTACCCACGTATCGTATTGTATAAAATAAAAGAAAACTTCCAAGCTTAGTCATTTTTTAGCCGTCTGAAGGCCTGTTTTATCAAGGACGGTTTCTTTGCTTTATTATTTTGGTTCTGTTCCTTTGTGGTGTGTAATTACACCTGAGTTTGTTTCCTTTGTTGCCTAAGTTCGATTCAGATTTTAGGAGTCATAGTTCCTGGATTTAGCTGGTTGTCCTGTCCACTGGCCATTGTACTGACCATTAGTGCGAGCACCGAGGAAGCCATCAGTCATACTCTACCCAATTATGATTTGCCCCCTTATAGTCGGCTGTTCTTTTGCCCGAAGAGCATGTGGTGCAAAGAGTGCTTCAGATCGGAGCTTATGTTCAGATGTGCCGCGAACCCTCCGTATTATGATCCTGTAGTTCATAATAGGGAAGTAAAGAAAATATCTCATTGCTACACAAGAGGTATCTCTTACGCACCCCAGAATAATGCGTATGGCTTCGTTTTACACCTTGTCATCAGCGTCGCGCGGTTAATAGATGGTTCCTACTGCAGTGCCTGTTTGACACTCTGCATACAAATAAGCCAGATCTGTGAAACGAATCTGCGGTAAACTTCCAGAACTTAAAAGTTCTAGAACAAGGCTAAAGTCCACAAATAGAGACTTCCTTTGAAGTGCATTTGTCGGAGAGGCAGGAAACAACAGTCTGAATACAAATAAGTCAGACATGTAAAACGGATGTGCATGCAACACTCAGGTGGACGAACAACCAAAACTTCCACCAAAGTAAATAGATGGGAAAAAGCGAAGAAAAAGAGAAAAAGCATTTTCATTATTGGCTTTAATGTAAAAAATTGAGCAGAGTACACGGGCTACGACAACTGATATTTCCTTGTACGGAGGCGTAGCCCAAGCTATTTACAAAATTATTGTTCGTTTCTATGTTTGATGCTACAAAGAGTTGCTAATTCATCATGGCTACTACTGACATTAGCGATGGGCGCATTCAGAAGATGGAAGTGGATTATACTGCCACTGTCGATGAGAAAATTCCCCTGTGTGAAACTCTTGCTAAGGTATGTTATTATAAAATCGCTGCCTTTTATATTTGACACCCTTATTTCTTGGAAACTGCAATGTTAGTAATTGTTAAATTGTACCAGTTATCGATAGTCTTCATCATCATATGATTAGTGAAAATACTATTACTATTACTAATAGTAGGGTGTTTAGTCTAAATTTTACACTGTAAACCTTACTGACCTACTAAGAGTAATCGCTGTCTAACTGATCTTCCTGGACAACTGACTGAAATACAGAATTGACTAAATAGTGCATGTTTCACTACACACACAATTGAGGCCCTAAGAAATCTGGGAAGAATAGAGAGGAGGGTAAGTCCTGCCCTGGGAAAAATGGTGGTTCTCCTCAAAACTACGGCCACTTATTATGGAGTACGCCGGAGTTCAGTCCCCTGGCCGCATTGTAATTACGGAGTGGACTAGAGGGAACGAAACAAATGACGTAGATACTATGTGTTAAACTGATGACGTATTATTTACTGTGTGGTGGCGATAGATGCACTGCTGTCATGTTAGGGTTAGGGGCTCTCCTTTAAATAACGGTCGCTAGCTGGAAGGCGACGGTCGCTTAGTCGGAGTTCACTCCCTGCTACAGTAGCCAGATACTGTGGACAAACGAAAATCAAAACACATTGTGGAGCTACTCAAACAAGACTAAAGCCATCAATTGGAGACTAGCCGCGCGCTATTGCTGTGCATTTAGGAGAATTCAGTGGCGCCACTCCCACAAGCAGCACATTGTCGGCCATTATTTGGAACTCCTGCGTCAAAATTTTCACAATAGCGGCCATTATTATGCATTACTCAACACGACATGTGTTACCCGAATCCTACCAAAACCCTAAGCCTAGCCTAACCCTAAGCAACCGTAGCATGACAATAAGATTTGTTTGGTTCCCTCTTTACCAATTTGCACGACAGTCAAAGTGAAAAAAGCATTTTCGCATTAGGCTAGCGACCGTAAAAAAAAGGAGAGAGTTACGGGCTATTGACTTAAAACTGATATTTCCCTGTAACGGAGGCTAGCCCAAGCTATTTACCAAAAATTATTGTATCAGTTTCTATCTATTGATGCTACATAGAGTTGCTAATTCATCATGGCTACTACTGACATTAAGCGATGGGCGCATTCAGAAGATGGAAGTGGATTATACTGCCACTGTCGATGAGAAAATTCCCCTGTGTGAAGCTCTTGCTAAGGTATGTTATTATAAAATCGCTGCCTTTTATATTTGACACCCTTATTTCTTGGAAACTGCAATGTTAGAAATTGTTAAATTGTACCAGTTATCGATAGTTAGTGAAAATACTATTACTAATAGTAATACTGTAGGATGTTTAGTCTAAATTTTACACTGTAAACTTTACTGACCTACTACTAGTAAGAGTAATCGCTGTCTAACTGATCTTCCTGGACAACTGAAATACAGAATTGACTAAATAGTGCATGTTTCACTACACACACAAATGAGGCCCTAAGAAATCTGAAAGAATAGAAGAATAGAGAGGAGGGTAAGTCCTGCCCTGGGAAAAATGGTGGTTCTCCTTAAAACTATGGCCACTTATTATGGAGTACGCCAGAGTTCAGTCCCCTGGCTGCATTGCAATTACGGAGTGGACTAGAGGGAACGAAACAAATGACGTACGTAATTACTGTGTGTTGGCGATAGACAGCATGAACTGATGACGTATTTACTGTGTGGTGGCGATAGATGCACTGCTGTCATGTTAGGGTTAGGGGGCTCTCCTTTAAATAACGGTCGCTAGCTGGAAGGCGACGATCGCTTAGTCGGAGTTCACTTCCTTGGCTGCAGTGCAAATCAAATACGGAGTGGACAAGTCACAAATCAAAAACATTGTGGATGCTACTCAAACGGACAATTTGCCATCAATTGGGCATAGCCGCGCGCTATTGCTGTCATATTTAGGAGAATTCCAGTGGCGCCACTCCCACAAGCAGCACATTGTCGGCCATTATTTGGAACTCCTGCGCCAAAATTTTCACATATAGCGACCGTTATTATGGGTAAGTACTCGGCGCTACATGTGTTACCCTAACCCTACCACAAACCCTAAGCCTAGCCTAACCCTAAGCAACCGTAGCATGACAGGTGAGTATGTCATTTGTTTCGTTCCCTCTTTACCACTCCGTATTTGCACTGTAGTCAAGGGACTGAACTAAGCGACCGTCGCCTTCCAGCTAGCGACCGTTATTTAAAGGAGAGCCGGTTAGGGTATTGGTACTCCTTAAAACTATGGCCACTCCTAAGCCTAACCCTACCCCGTACCCTATCCCTACCCCGTACCCTATCCCTAACCCTAGTATGACAGCAGTGCATCTATCGCCAACACACAGTAAGTACGTCATTTGTTTCGTTCCCTCCTGTCCACTCCGTAATTGCAATGCGGCCAGGGGACTGAACGGCGTACTCCATAATAAGTGGCCGTAGTTTTAAGGAGAACCAAAATGGTTAACTAAAGTTACCGTCTTTATTTCACAAGTATGGTACTGGCTTTCGCTGTCTAAAAAAGCAGCATGTGGTGCGTCGTGCTATTGATCATCTCTCAGCCTGTACAAAAAGTAGTGAGGCAATGCTAACAAGAATGTGACCACAGCTCACATCCACAGTTGTGGTGTGAGTTGGCAAATATTTTTATGGTAGTCCATCAAAAGGTCTTGTAAAAGAAGGCCCACTCTCATTCTCTCGCTGAATTGTGGGTCAGCATTCAGTACTGTCGGCGTCACTTAAAGCGTGTCAGCAGGCATTCAGTGGTTCTGTAAAGGGATGCGATGAGCTGACTGACCTGTGAATGTCCTTGAAGCATCCTGTTTTGATCTTACCAATAGTCATACGCTTGTCTCAGCATCATCGCCACGGCATTGATGTACAACTATGATAGTCTGCTACTGTCAGCTGACTTGACTCAAATGTTCGTCAGTCACAGCATTACGGCAAAATCTTAAATGTCCAACCATCAGATGACCTATTTGACAGAAAGGTTATGATGTCCTATACCATGGGCCCCACTCATCAGAGTATCAGGACCAGACAGCGAAAGTAATGCCTTGTATATATGATTTTTTCCATACTGTCATGCAAAGTTTCCAAATTATTGAACACTAAAGGTGTCCCCATTTGTGTGGTCATTAAAGTCATGGACCTGCAAGCTGCTGCCTAGTGATTCCAGAGAGCACAGTCCGTGATGAGTGGGAAGCTGAAAATACCGACATGCAAGTTCATAGAGGCAACCCACCTGATGGTCTGATCTAAGCATACAAAACCAAACACAAAGAAGAAGAAGAACATACAGATGTGAGGTTAGGTAGTCATTTGAAGAACATATCAGTTCCTTGAACCAGAGCCTTATGAGTCAGCTCTGCATTTATGGAAGCCTCCTTGGGTGGTGGGGGGGGGAATGAACCACGATCTGCCGCCCCTGCCTTCCCTTGAGCTTTGACCAGTCTACACAAGATTGTCCTAGCTAGATGAACTCTTCAGGGGCAACACCTGTAGATAAAGGGACAGAGAAAACACCACACAAATAACGCCTTATCATGCTAAACCCTTTGACCATATGCCTAATGAAGTCGGATGCGTTGGCAAAAGGCTCAAAATAGCAGTTAACAGGCACAGCGCAAATTATGTTTTTGTTTTGCTATAGAGATTGTTTACCTGACTTGTCAAACAATATTATTTGTGTTACCTTTCTCATTTATTTCAGCAAGGAAAGCTAACTGAAGCTATTGATGGACTTATGTCACTGGAAAAACAGACTAGAACGGTAGCTGTTTCTTTTTAGTTAGAATTCTAAACATTAATTGATTATAATTTGGATCTCAGTGTTTTTCTTCTTCTTGGTCCATAGTATTCTAAGAATTGTTCTGTGACATTTCAGTTCCAGTGCTGCAGTTTTTGTTGTTCTGTGATTGAGTGAGAGAGTCCATGACTCCCATGCATAAATATCCATGGGAAGGACACATGATCTCAAAATGTTTACTTTCATTCTATTTGCAGGTGCTGTGCCATAGATTCTTCGTGCTGTTTTTTTTCTAATCCCTGCATTGTTAAAGCAAGTCTTCTCCTGACTTCTTTTGTGCAGTCGCCCTTGTTTGCAGATCCACTGTTCTAACGTATCATGTACTGTTTCTGGAGATGAGAGTCAGTAATCTGGTTTTCTTTCAGCTTGCTCTACTTCACTTTAATTTTTCTAAAGAAAGAGACCACCTTTCTTCTTCTGTTTTGTTCTCCAGTAGAGCATAGCCCTCAACCAACTCACACCAAGTCATATATTTTGCTGTGCATGTAGCTCACCACCACCAGCTGTCACCCCACTCCCTTCACCATACTCCCTTCACCCCACTCCCTTCACCCCACTCCCTTCACCATACTCCCTTCACCCCACTCCCTTCACCACCACCAGCTGTCACCCCACTCCCTTCACCACCACCAGCTGTCACCCCACTCCCTTCACCACACTCCCTTCACCACACTCCCTTCACCACACTCCCTTCACCCCACCCCCTTCACCACACTCCCTTCACCATACTTTTCACTTCATGTTCCGAATCCTTTCTCCACTTGTTTTTCTGTGTGTATGTGTGGGTGCCTTTTAACCTCTCAATGTGGGTTCTAGGGCTACATTTGAAAGGGGACTGGGGTGAAAATAGAGCCACTGTCTTTCTATCAGGCATGTCGTAAAAGGCGACTAATTATGGACTTGTCCTCCAAAATTGGACTGCATCTCCCTGAGTGGCGGGGAACGAATTTTCTCTATACAGGTAAGCCAGATCTGTAAAATGGATGTGCAAGCAAAACCCAAGTTCTGGAACAGGACCAAATCTCACAAGTGATCAGTTAGAGTTTACAGAAGGTAAACATGAAGAAGATGATTCCTTAAACCCTGTGAGTTTCAGTGCAAGGACATTCTGATTCTATTGCCATCAGGTTTTCTGCCAATGTATGGTATCTAATGCAAGCGTCTTATTCTCACCTCTTGTTTTCCTGGAATTTGCCTTCACCTTTGCTGACTAAGCCATATCTTTTTCTTTCCTAAAGTCCAGCATTGTTTGGATTCAACAACTAATGTGTTCTATAGGATGCAGCAGCGAGTCCTGTTGTACCAACTCTTTTTAATAGGCTGTTATATTGTTTCTGGAATACTGCAGTGTTATTCTTCTTTGGTTCTGTCTAGAGCTGAGTGACGCTGAGCATGTATATTCAACCCCCCCCCCCCCATACCTTTCCCCATTATAGACTTTGTCTTCTGTGTTCTTTAATGGCACAAGCAGCCACAGCTAGAGATGTCTGACTGTTTGAACAAACAAAATAACGCTGCAGAGTTAGAAATTTAACAATTCTCTTCTTTTTCCTGTTTGCTGGCTGTAAACTGCAGTGAAAAGTTCCGCTTGTTCGTCCAGTTCTAGACTGGCCCTGTTTTAGAACCTGAGTGTTGACTACACATTCATTTTATAGATCGACTCATTTGTATGCAGTCTGTTGGTTTCTTGCCTCTGAGGCAAATGCGCTCGACTTCCTTGGAAGCTCCCAGTTTATCTGCTCTTACAGCATGCTTTTGGGCAGGCAGTGAGTCTGTTGTTGTTTTTCTTACAATAAGTGCCATTTCCCGCCCAGGTGATGTGATTATCTATACAGATGGCTCTATTTAGAGAGGCAAGAGAAATGCATATGGGTTCATTGTGAAAGCAAATGAATGACACTTGGTGCAACAAAGCCTAGCTTGCGATACTGCATCTTGTTTGAGAATGGAGGTGGAGGCAGTCACAGCCGCTTTCTGCTGGCTTGAGAACAAGCAGCATACATATATTGTAACCGACTCTCAAAGCTTACCAAGAAAGGTGGAGACAAGCATGCTCCGTGCAGTAGCAAGCATTGCTACAGAGGTCCTGTGTAGTTAGTTCTCTTTGGATATTTCCCCCAGGATATGCAGGTGTTTGGGAAATGAACAGGTGGACAGATTGGCTGGTTTTGCATCACTGGATGGTAAATTGATTCATGACAAGAAAAATGTGTAGGCACAAATAGATCATTATGGGCTGGAGAGAATGGTTAGGCTAGCAATGGCCAAGGGGATCTGATCGACGCTCTGCATTCATAGGAAAAACGGGAAGGACTCGGAATTTTCTGAGTGTTTTAAACCCTCACTGGGATTATTATGAACAATCTACGGGTACTCTTTTGTTTTCTTCAAACTTAACGTAACAACCATTTCATATTTTATTTTTGTAACATTATTATTGTTTGGTTTTTAGTGACATGTTTGTAACAGTTTTTAAAAATTTTATATGGACAGTCTGCTGATACCCATTCTACTGGCCGTATTCTGGTGGCCATTGTGAGGCTGTGCTTTGAATCAAAGAACTGGGATGCTCTCAATGAAAATATTGTTCTCTTGACCAAGAAGAGAGGTCAGATTAAGCAGGTATGTTTTTTATTTCTTAACTGCTTTTTTACTGTGTCCCTAAAGTATTATAGTAAACTAATGTTACCAGAGCATCAAGAGCTTGGATACTTTGTAAACTCTCTCAAACTGTTATTCGTCCATCTCTTTATGTTGTCCCCTCACTTGTATCCTTGTCGACCTCTTGCTCTCTGGTAGTGTCTTCCAAGTTGGGTCTAAATATTAGAGTCTTCTATACAGACTCTTCTGATTTGTACACCTTCCAGCGTCAACATAAATAAATTTAAAGAACCAGCAGTCGAGTTGTTATCTAAAGAGAGTTTGTGAAACACAATCTGACAGGTCAGTAAAGTTATTTCACTCGCGCCATTTGTGCTTTAGGCATATGATGCCACACTCATTTTTTTTTAACCAGTCAGCCCTCGATGGGTGATGTAAGCATTACGCCGGATGTCTTTACTTCCTAAGACTTTACCAGGTGGTCACTCAAAGCTGGGTCAACCTTGGAGGTGATGTCCTCATTGAAGTAAAAATGTCAGCTTCTGTTCAGTATCAAACTCACAACATTCCTATATGCAGACGAGCATCTGGCTGCTGCACCATGGTGGCTCACAATCTGGCAGTATGAGACCAATAATGAATGATGTCAGTCTTATTGGAATGTTACACGTACATATATGTATGTGTGGGTTTGTTGTTGTTGAAATAATGGGTTATATCTCACTTATCCAAAGAAGCGCTTTGGGGAGGATACTAGCCTTATCCTAGGAAGAGGAAATGCAACCTTAAAACATGTGTTATGGCAGGGCAGACCAGGCCCTTTGCCTTGGCTGGCAGCTTGTCTAGGAGGGAAGCTTTGACAGGCGGACAGATAGAGCACCGCTCTTCTGATCTGGCAGCTTCTGCAACCTGCCTTGTTCCAAACGTACTGGTTTTACCTTTCCTTTGGAGTAAACAAGGCAGGTCGAGGGAGGGATCATTATGCATGGGTAAGATATGGTCTCTACAATACTGCCCAGGCTTTGTGCTATGGAGAGGAGGAACTTCATCCCTGGCCTTAATCGGTACAAGCGGGTCTTGCTAGTCACACTCACCATCCTCTAAAGCTGTGTCTCATGCCTCCTCATAGCGCAATATAACACTATCGTCTGGAAAAACGGAAAGGTGCCAATCAATTTCAGTTATCAGGTTATAATAGCGAAATTAAACATTGTATGTGAACAGCTGTAAAAATAACTATTGTGTCTTTGTTTTCTAGGCTGTGACGAAGATGATTCAGGAGGTTTGCACCTATGTGGACAAAACACCAAACAAGGAAGTGAAGTTAAAGCTTATTGACACACTCCGATCTGTTACAGCTGGCAAGGTGATTGTGATATGCTGACTGTATCAAGCCAGTTTTAAGAGCTTGTTCTGTTCTGTATACATTTGAAACTGTTTTATTTATACCTTGTTTGCTTATTCATCTGTCTGAGATACTAGCATTTGACAATTCTTCTATCCTGTTAGGAGAACACTTTTTCAGTCACCATCTAAAAAATGGTATGACTGAGCTTGATTGTCACATATTTTAGTTACCAGGTGTCGCAGAGGCCTTGAAATGTGGGAAAACTCTGTGAATAATTATAGTCTTCAGTATCCTGAAAACACTAGAGCATTTTTTTAAAAAGGCCAAAAACTTGAAATTTGTACATTGTAACCGGGAATTAGAACGAGAGTTCATAGACAGGCAAGTGACTGTTGGCGACCAGGCCTATTCTTAGTAACCATTGTTGTTTTAAATGTTTTTGATCACTTCCAGAGACCTATGAACCAAATGTGCATATTGACAAGTTTGCGGCTTTCACAGTGCAGGAGCAAAGTATTTTGGCTTATAATTAAACCGCGCCTTGATGCCAGTTTCGACTAAAACTCTTAGATATGCCTAACTGTTTTATGTAGAATGCGAGCTGTGTAAGAAAGAAATAGTCCTAACGACTTTCATAGAAAGTCTACACAGAATGTTGATGCTTCCATCTCAGTACCTTTTAATTGTTTCATAGATATATTTGATTTTTAAATTCTTCTTTTTTCTATATACAGAGTTAATTTAAATTTATTTAGCTCACAGCACGTGAAATGATAATTAAGCACTTATATTGTTTGTTACAGATTTATGTTGAGATTGAAAGAGCCAGGCTAACTCGCACCTTGGCCAAGATTCGTGAGGAGGAAGGAGATATTGCAACAGCTGCAAGTGTTCTGCAGGAACTTCAGGTAGTACAGAATGTTGTAGAAAAGTTGTTTAATAATGGCTACACCAGAAAGAAAGCTCTGCAGATTTATCTTCCTTTTAAAGTTCCCTGTGCGGCGTCTGTGGCTTAGGTGTTGACAGTCCGACTTGTAATTCCAACGTACCGTTATTGAAACCCACTGCTGGCTGCAGGGATTTTTATCGTGGTATGGGGCATCGCAGGTTGACCCAGGCTAAAATGGGTACAATGATGGCTGTCCTGTGGAATTAAAGACAACCGGCGTAATGCTGACCACTTTACCCACATGTGCCGATTGGTCTGTAAAAAATATGGGTGCTCTTCCCATATGCCCGATGCTCCAAAGGTGTGAAAAGGGATCTTTTAAAGTTCTCTGTGTCAAGCAGAATATTCAACACAAATCATTCCTTTTATAACGAGCAGAAACATGAGAACAACCATCAACTGTCTGTATTTATCGCTTTTGCAGTGTAGGTAGGGGATTCTTTAAGCCAGTAGGATTTAGTATAACTAGACTATCTTCACATTGGACCTACTGGGTTAATATAAGGGAGACACAGAGATGAGATTTAGAGACATATGAATAATATAAGGAGATTTGAGGCAATCTTTATGAGAAATTGGTAAGTACAGTAAAAGTTCTGTTCCCACACCTCAGGGTATATTTGGGCATTTATGAATGTTCTGTTCCCACACCTCAAGGTATATTTGGGCATTTATGAATGTTTTGTTGCCACACCTCAAGGTATATTTGGGCATTTGTGAATGTTCTGTTCCCACACCTCAAGGTATATTTGGGCATTTATGAATGTTCTGTTCCCACACCTCAAGGTATATTTGGGCATTTGTGAATGTTCTGTTCCCACACCTCAAGGTATATTTGGGCATTTGTGAATGTTCTGTTCCCACACCTCAAGGTATATTTGGTCATTTATGAATGTTCTGTTCCCACACCTCAAGGTATGTTTGGGCATTTATGAATGTTCTGCTCCCACACCTCAAGGTATATTTGGACATTTGTGAATGTTTTGTTCCCACACCTCAAGATATATTTGGGCATTTGTGAATGTTCTGTTCCCACACCTCAAGGTATATTTGGGCATTTGTGAATGTTTTGTTCCCACACCTCAAGGTATATTTGGGCATTTATGAATGTTCTGTTCCCACACCTCAAGGTATATTTGGACATTTGTGAATGTTTTGTTCCCACACCTCAAGGTATATTTGGGCATTTGTGAATGTTTTGTTCCCACACCTCAAGGTATATTTGGGCATTTGTGAATGTTCTGTTGCCCCACCTCAAGATATATTTGGGCATTTGTGAATGTTCTGTTCCCACACCTCAAGGTATATTTGGGCATTTGTGAATGTTCTGTTCCCACACCTCAAGGTATATTTGGGCATTTGTGAATGTTCTGTTCCCACACCTCAAGGTATATTTGGGCATTTGTGAATGTTCTGTTCCCACACCTCAATATATATTTGGGCATTTGTGAATGTTCTGTTCCCACACCTCAAGATATATTTGGGCATTTGTGAATGTTCTGTTCCCACACCTCAAGATATATTTGGGCATTTGTGAATGTTCTGTTTCCCACACCTCAAGGTATATTTGGGCATTTGTGAATGTTCTGTTCCCACACCTCAAGGTATATTTGGGCATCTTGTACTAGCCTCACCTTTTTTATAGACCAGCTGGCACTCTTCTCCTCCCACATTGATGACACCTAGGGGAGGGAGTGCACCCCTTCCTGCTACCTTCTTCCCTCTATATCTCATCTTATTTCTTACTCCCTTCTTTCTCTCCCTGTCTCATTCCCACTTTATTTTCTTAAACTTTATTCTCTCACCTCCTCTGTCTCACCCTTACCACCTCAGCCTTCTACACCACTTTCCACCACCTCCTCTCTCCCCTCCTTTCTGTAATTGGAAAACCAGAAATAAAACAAAGTCCACTGCTGCCCTGACATATTTATGTGTGTGGGTAAACTTCTCTATTTTCCACCAGTGGTGGGTTAGGATCCCCTGGACTTTTTTTTTCTTCATAAAATGACCTTGGCTCTCAGGTCACCAGCTTTAGTGTAAGAAATTGAACTATTGTTGTCACAGCAGATAGGACAAGCACGGTGCAGTAGGGGTTAGCACTGTTGTTTATGGGCCACATTCACATTGGGAGAGGGTAGGAACCGGAAAAGTGGCCTCACTTAGAGATTTCCTAATTCTATTTTTGGCGCTCAGTGTTCTTACACTCCCCCCCCTTCCCACAACCGTGTCTTACCTCTCTTCTCTCACCCCTTCTCTTTCCTTTGATCTTCCACTATTCTCCTTTCTCTCTCCATTCTTCCTCTCTTCCTTTCCTTGCCCTTTCTCCTGTCCCATCTCTTCTTTGTCTCCTCTCCATTCTGTCTTTTCATTTTCTCTAGATTTCCTTACCTGCTCCCCTCTCTCATTCTCTCTCTCTCTCCCTCCCTCCCCCCCCCCCCCATTTTTTTCTCTGGTTCATCTACATATTTTTGTGCCCCAAAACTATCTTTTCCTAGTGGTTGTGTCCACTACACTTGAAATTGTGTGGGGGAGTAGGTGGGGTTTCAGCACGAGGCTGTTTTTTTTTTCTTTGATGTATCTTGTCTCCCTTCCTGCCCCTCTCTCTTAATCTGTGTTTGTCACTGCCTTCCTTACCCACCTCTCTCTCTCTCTCTTACTTTATGTCTGTTTGCCTCCCTTCATCACTTCCTCTTTGTATACCTCCCTCCCATTCTCCTGCTCTGCCTTTTTTCTCTTTCTTTGGTTCTCTCCCTCTGTCTGCTTGCCTCTCTGTGCTGTCCCTTTGTCTCTCTCTCTTTTATGTCTACATCTCTCTCTGCTTGCATCTGCTTCTCTCCTGTCCGTTCTCTCTCCCTCTGTCTCCCTTCTTTCAACTCTTTGTCATATTTTCCTCCTTCCATATCTCTGTTTTGTTCCCTTTTTCCTTCTCTTTTCATCTGCCCATCTCTGTATCTGCATTCCCTCTTTCTGTATTTGTTTCCTCATCATGTCTCCATCCCTCCCTCTCATTTTTTCCCCCTTCCCCAGACTTCTTTTCCTTCTTTTCTCTACCTTCATCTGTCCATCTTTACACTGTCTCTTCCAGCCTACCTCAGCATGTGTCTTCCTCCCTCTCTGCATGACTCTCTCTCTCCCCCCAACCCTTTCAGGTACCAGATCCAGAACAGACAGGACTTCAGTTTGCTGCCCTCTACCACCAAGCCCTAAAAAAAAATTTCAAACACTATGTCAAGCTCAGGGGCCGACCAACACGAAGATGGGCACAGGATATAAGTGACTCCTTGAGTATAAAAAAGTACATGAGACGGGAGAGCTGGTGAGAGACCGAGGTTTTTTTTGTCAGGACAAAGGAAATGCTACATGATGATGATATATGTGCTGGTACTGAGAGTTGATTTGAGTCAAGAATTGACATCACAGCACTTAGGGCATTCCCATTTGTGCTCCGTCCTCATCTTCAGCAGCCAGCGCAGTTCCAATACTGATGGTACCGGTCACAATCTGGTTATATGTCCGTCTTGCCTTTCCTCTGAGAGTAGTGAGCCGGCCAGACCCTCTGAGAGTGGTGAGCTGAGAGTGGTATAGTGCAGATCCTATGGTCCCTCCTAGCTGTACCATTCTCTCCCGACCATAATGCTTTGTTGATAATTTCTTTTTGGCAGCTGGCATTCATGTTTTTTGCATTGTCTGATTTCAGGTTGAAACATTTGGATCGATGGACAGAAAAGAGAAAGTGGAGTTCATCCTGGAACAGATGCGCTTGTGTCTGGCCAAGAAGGATTACATTCGCACACAGATCATCAGCAAGAAAGTCAGCATTAAGTTCTTTGAGGAGCCGGAGACTGTTGTGAGTTTCCCTACAGTTATTTATCTCCCTCAGAATTCTAGTCGGCGTATGGAACAATGTTGTAACTAATTTCTCTATTGGCTCTCAGGGATCTCCCTGGTAAAGACATTTGCCATGTGCACTGAAGGTTGTTGGTTCACTTTCTGGCTGTATTAAGTTCCTAAGTGTAATTGTTGTCAGAGCCCCCTATGGGTTGTTGCTGGAGCTACAAAGTTCAAGCTTTGTGTTAACAGGTTGTAGCAGTTCTCAGGTAAGAAGCCAAGCCAGATGGACTTAAACCCAGTGCAATGAGCAAATTCTCTCACTTTTACTGTGCTCTCCTAATTGAATCACAGATAACCATGTCTGACCATAGTTATTTTTCTTTAGTTTGGTTTGGAACCATCTTCTTCTTCTTCGTTCAGTATTACATTTGTTGGATAAAAGCTGGTTAAGTCTACTCAAGCCAATTAGTTATAAGACTTACAACAGTAACTAACTATTTTTTTTTTAAATTTGTTATTCATGATTGTTGTCTGAATATGTAAATATTATACATTTTCTGCAGAATCCTTTTTTTTTCATGATTCTGTTCCCCAAATAAAAAAGGAGATCCAAAACATCTCAGTTTTTCACCAGTTTAAACTGCAAACCAGTTACTTACAACATCATATGTGTACCACACAATTACTGAAATGGGAAAGAAATGTCTGAGGAAAAAAGGACTCCTAGGACGTTCAGAAAGTGAACTGAGAACCTTTAGTGCTTAGAGTAAATGGCTTAAACATGGAGAGCCCTGAGAGCTCATTGAGAAATCAGCTATAAAACTGTTCCATGTGCTGACTAGAATTGGGAGGCAACCCTTCAATGAACATCCGTGGGAAGTCTAAAGTGTTGGGGACTAGATTTCATCCATAAAGTCATGCAGATTGCGCAGGGCAGAAGTGGGAGGGGATAAGGGGGGGGGGGATAGCTATGAACCCTTTGTGGTGTATAAATGGCACAACTGGATGATGTTGACACTCAAACAGAACTTGGGGGAATTATAATCTTCTTCTCAGTGTTGACCAGCTGTAAACTCCAGTGGAAAGTTCTGGTTGTTCCTCCACTCCTGGACTTTGGTCTTGATGGAGAACTTGAGTGTTAGGTGCACATCCATTTGACACATCTAGTTTTCCTGTGTGTGTTCTAGGGCCTCATTGTGGGAAAACAAGAGTAGACTCACTACCTCCCTGACAAGCATGTTGTAAGAGTTGTCTAGCTAGGGTTTCCTTTCAAGGCGGAGTGTATCTGCCTGAAAGAGAAAGAACCAGCAGTCTGCATACAAACATGCCAGATCTGTAAAATGGATGTTCATGCAGCACTCCAGTTCGGGAAGAGTACTAAAGTCCAGGAGTGGATGAACAACCAGAACTTTCATCTGGAGTCTACAAGTGGTGCATGCAGAGAAGAAGATCAGGCTTATTTGTGCGCAAACTGTCGGTCCCTTGCTTCTTAAGCAGATGCACTCTGAAGGAAACACATGGCCTGCTTATTGAGGGGAGGGGGGCAGTGTGTCTATTCTGTGTTCTCCATAATAAAGCCCTGGAACCTGCACGAGGATGATTATAATCGGTAATATATCATAAAGCCAACCTATATAAAATAACACGTGGGAAATGAGATGCGTAAGAAAAGCTGCAAGATTAACCATCTGAGACAAAGTTGGAAATGATATCGAACAGACTGTAGGAACAACACCATGCAGCAAATTCATTGAGAAACAGAGACTCGAATGGTTTGGTCATCCAGTAAGACTGCAGGTGTTACATGTGAAAAGATCTGATGTTAAAGCAAGAGGTTGTCCTAGGGGAAGATGGCATTTAACAACTTCATCAACACGGAATGACGGGCCAGTGCTGCCCATCAAGCAATGGATTTCAAACTGTTTCTCCCCACGACGCTTCACGGCAGAAGTGAAAACTTGATGATGTGGGTAATAAATCGTGTTTGTCAATTTATTTCACAGGATCTGAAACTGAAGTTCTATCAGCTGATGATTGAGTTGGACCAGCATGAGAGTTCCTACTTGGCAATCTGCAAGCATTACCTGGCCATCTATAACACAGAGCAAATACAGAAGGATAAAAACAAAATGAAAGATGTAAGACCAGTCTTTCTTATATGACTTTACTATAATATATTGTATTTTGCTGTCACTGTTTTACACATTCAGAATTTATCACTTTTACAACATTTGTTCTTACTTTCCTAACATTTGCAAATTACATTAATGCTGCAGAATTATTTAATGCGGTCCACGGTTTGTGAAAGCAGATCCGGTTTTTCTCCTTTTTTGTGTGTGTGTGTTACATTTGTTTAAACTTCAGTAGCCTTTCTGCTAGTGTCCTCCTGGCAATGTCAGTGACATTGTTGATGCCATTTCTTCCTAAAAGTCTACATTTGCTCATCACTCTGGTTTATTCTTGTTTCCTTGTCTTCTCATATTTGCTTACAATAAAGGTTTTATTTCAACTTAGTCCTGAGACTGGGGGAAGTAAAGGCAGCTCACGTGATAGTGACTACATCACCCACCCAGTGCCGATTAGTCTATAAAATATAGGCCTAGCCCTATATGCCCAATACACCTGAAGGAATGGAAAGGGACCTTTACTTTTACTTTGCTATTTTAACTCGGTGGAATATGTGGCTTAGGCATTGCGGGCATGCTTCATAATGCTGAGGTACCTGGTTCAATCCCACCTTCAGGTGATTTGGCAGAAGATCAACTTGTGTTGGTTTCTACAGTGGTATTGGAGAGCACACCATTCAGAGAGCAATGGCAGACTCCTGAACATAAATTTCCCTTCATGATTCAAGAACCAACATCACAGCACTCAGGGCATTCCCATTAGCGCTCCGTCCCCATCTTCAGCAGCCAGCGAAGAGTTCCGATACTAATGATGCCAGTAGCTTTCTGATTAAACGTCCGTCTTGCCTTTCCTCTGAGCCTCGAGCTTCTGCCAGAACCTCTCGTCACCCCCAACTGCATCAATCTCACCAGACTGGTGATCCATCTGCTCCTCCAAATTGTACACGCTCTCCCACAAGGCACTAACCACGTCTGCCTTATCATGTATCAGTATTCCACCAAGTTGTGCAGAGCCAGCCAGTCTGTCCGCCTGTTCATTTCCCAACACTCCGGCGTAACCCGGTGAAAAAATCCAGACTCGTGTCCTCCGCAGCGAAGCATGCCACTCTGCACGAAGCATACCTGTTCTGATCTTCCTCAGCATGCTTTCTGAATCAGTTACAATCACGATGTGTGTGTGTGTCATGTTCTCTAGCCAGCCGAAATCTGCAGTGACCGCCTCCTCCTCCATTCTTAAGCTGGATGTTGTGGTATCATATGCTAGGCTCTCCTGCACCAAAAGTCGACCATTAACTTTTGCTAAGAAGCCCCAAGCACTTCTTTTGCCTCTTGACACTGAACCGTCTGTGTAAATGATCAAATCCTCTGAGTGAGCATTTTCGTCAATTAATTGCTGAATTTCCACCTTTGTGGCACCTGCTGACCAGGGGTGGAAATTCAGCAATTAATTCAAGATAATGCTCGCTTCAATCCCTTCAGAAAACCACAACAGTAAAAAACTGCTTGTGTTGGTTTTGCTACATCCTGTAAAGGATACGCAGTTGACGTAACTATTTTAACTCATAGAATTTATTAAGCAATGGTGTTCACTTTTATTATTTGCACTTCGTGCAGAGTGGCAAGCATCGCTTTAGAGGTCCAGGGTAGTTAGTGTTCTTTGGATATTTTATCTAGGTCATGCAGGTGTGTTGGGAAACGAGCAGGCAGACTGGCCGGTTCTGCACCACCTGGTGGTGAATTGTTTTGTGACAGGCTAGATGTTGTGAGGGCCCTTTTGTAGTGAGTAAACAGTATGGAGGCACAAATAGATCATTACAGTCTGAGGAGAATGTCGCTATGAGGAGTTTCGATGTACAACACTCATGGGAAAGGTGAGACAGATATACAATCAGACAGTTACTGGTGCCATCGGACTTTTCACTGCTGAAGATGGGGATGGAGCGCTTATGGGAGTGTCCTGAATGCTGTGATGTCGATTCTCAATTCAACATTCAGTTTGAGACTGTTTCTGACAAATTTGAGACATAATGTTTCACAATCTGCATTATCAGTATAATAGTAAACCATTTCTTTTCTGATTTGAAACTCTACACTTCAGTCAGTTGTGGTTTGTGTGTACTCACCATCCACGTCAGAAGGCTTAGATATATCCTGGACAGGTGGAACACTGAAGTATGTCATGACAGTAGGGAAAGTTGGTGGCAAAGAGAGACAGTGGGAGTCCAAGAGAGACAGTGGCAGTCCAAGAGAGACAGTGGGAGTCCAAGAGAGACAGTGGCAGTCCAAGAGAGACAGTGGCAGTCCAAGAGAGACAGTGGCAGTCCAAGAGAGACAGTGGCAGTCCAAGAGAGACAGTGGGAGTCCAAGAGAGATGTTGGACAGTCTGGTTTTCTGGCACGGAAGAACATCTGATTTGGAAATGATCGATGGTAAATGAGGCAGAAAATTTGTGGACAGTCATGTTTACCAACACCACACAGCGTGGGCTGTTAGAAGATCTTTCAACCTGTTGTTGGCTGCAATAATGAACAGAGTTAATGATCTGCTGTGATGGGTTTTCACTATTGTGTTGTAAATGCTTAAGACCACTAATCATCATCATGTATTTTTGTAGTACCTGACTTTTATCATAACCATCACCCCATAGGGCCCCCTTTGGGGGGGGGGGGGGAAGAACAGACCTACTGCCCCCACCAGCATGTCGTGAAAGTGGATTAATTAGGGGCATTTTTATTCAAGTCAAAGCGTATCTGCCTGAGAGGAACCATCAGTCTGCATTCAGATAAGCCAGATCTGTAAAATGGATGTGCACGCGCAACTCAGGTTCTGGAACAAGACAGAAGTCCACAAGTGGAAGAATAACTAAACCTTCCGCCGGTGAATGCGAAGAAGATCATAGTCAGTTAGAAATACTCTAAGACCTTTGTAAATTCCACTCTCTCATGCATGTCCACACCCCTCTTCTTCCTTTTATCCCCCTGTGAAACATAGGCCCTCAGTTCAGTCGTGTGAGATCCTCCTGTCTTTTGCAGCTCTATCCATTCTCTCCCTCTCCATGTTACTCATCTCTGTCTCTAATTCTTGGCCTCATGTCGATTTAGGTCTTCCTCTGTTTGTATCTTGTGGGTTCCAGACAAAAGCCTTCCTGGCTATACATATTATACCTGGTTTTCATCGTATGGTTTTAGTATTGAATCCAGTATAGGTCATGATTATATGTTGACCTTTGGCACTTGTGTTTTGCAGGCTCTGCGTTGTGTTGTTCTATATCTTGTGCTGGCACCGTTTGATAATGAGCAGTCTGACCTTCTTCACCGGGTGTCACTAGATAAGAATCTAGAGGAGATTCCTTTTTATCAGTAAGTAATTGCAGGCCATTCTTTTGAATAGATTGATAATCTTTTCAGTCGTATGAACAAATTAAGGAAGTTTCCTCTGAAGTCGGAGTCGTCTCCTTGAGAGGTGAGGAACCAGTAGTCTGCATACAGATAAGCCAGATCATGTAAAAGGGATGTGCACGCAAAACTCCCAAGTTCTGGAGCTAGATTAAAGTCCAGAAGTGGGGCAGAAAACCAGAAATTTTTGCCAGGTTTATAGCCAGTGAACACTTTAAAGAAGAAAATCTATGGATCTCACTGTCCCTTCTCAAATTTCTACACTGACGGTATTTCAGAAGTGAACTGGACAGTCCACACGCTTCAACAAATGAAAACACTAATGTGCTACACTGGACCAGCTCAACTTGCACACATCTAGTCTGATCTGCTGACTGAAGGCACCTGACTAGAAAAACTATTGTATTTTTATTGTAATTTCATGGAAAACACCATTCACTCAATGCCTGTTAATCCACATTTACCCAAGATTTCTGAGCAACACCTGTTTCACAAACTTCATTTTTTGCACTAAACTTCTATCAGCAAGTTCATAAGTATTTATGTGTACTCTGGTTTCTATGACCTCCGGTACGAGGCATATTTTTTAAGTAAGTCCCGGTATTTTAAAAAATGTAAACCATTATATATAACAATGATTTATTGCAGTCAAAAGTAAACCACACACTTACCTTATTTCTCAGTATAGTCACCATTGACTTCAACACATTTGTGTTATGTGGCACCAGGTTCTTAATTCCAGTATCATAGAAGTCTGCCACCAGTGCCTTGAACCATTTATTAACGATGCTTGCCACTCTGTACGTAGCGCGCCTGTCCCCACCTTGTTCAGCATGCTCTGTGAGTCAGTTACAATGATCACCTGTACGTAGCGCGCCTGTCCCCACCTTGTTCAGCATGCTCTGTGAGTCAGTTACAATGATCACCTGTACGTAGCGCGCCTGTCCCCACCTTGTTCAGCATGCTCTGTGAGTTAGTTACAATGATCACCTGTACGTAGCGCGCCTGTCCCCCACCTTGTTCAGCATGCTCTGTGAGTCAGTTACAATGATCACCTGTACGTAGCGAGCCTGTCCCCACCTTGTTCAGCATGCTCTGTGAGTCAGTTACCATGATCACCTGTACGTAGCGAGCCTGTCCCCACCTTGTTCAGCATGCTCTGTGAGTCAGTTGCAATGATCACCTGTACGTAGCGCGCCTGTCCCCACCTTGTTCAGCATGCTCTGTGAGTCAGTTACAATGATCACCTGTACGTAGCGCGCCTGTCCCCACCTTGTTCAGCATGCTCTGTGAGTCAGTTACAATGATCACCTGTACGTAGCGAGCCTGTCCCCACCTTGTTCAGCATGCTCTGTGAGTCAGTTACAATGATCACCTGTACGTAGCGCGCCTGTCCCCACCTTGTTCAGCATGCTCTGTGAGTCAGTTACAATGATCACCTGTACGTAGCGCGCCTGTCCCCACCTTGTTCAGCATGCTCTGTGAGTCAGTTACAATGATCACCTGTACGTAGCGCGCCTGTCCCCATCTTGTTCAGCATGCTCTGTGAGTCAGTTACAATGATCACCTGTACGTAGCGCGCCTGTCCCCACCTTGTTCAGCATGCTCTGTGAGTCAGTTACAATGATCACCTGTACGTAGCGCGCCTGTCCCCCACCTTGTTCAGCATGCTCTGTGAGTCAGTTACAATGATCACCTGTACGTAGCGAGCCTGTCCCCACCTTGTTCAGCATGCTCTGTGAGTCAGTTACAATGATCACCTGTACGTAGCGAGCCTGTCCCCACCTTGTTCAGCATGCTCTGTGAGTCAGTTACAATGATCACCTGTACGTAGCGAGCCTGTCCCCACCTTGTTCAGCATGCTCTGTGAGTCAGTTACAATGATCACCTGTACGTAGCGAGCCTGTCCCCACCTTGTTCAGCATGCTCTGTGAGTCAGTTACAATGATCACCTGTACGTAGCGAGCCTGTCCCCACCTTGTTCAGCATGCTCTGTGAGTCAGTTACAATGATCACCTGTACGTAGCGAGCCTGTCCCCACCTTGTTCAGCATGCTCTGTGAGTCAGTTACAATGATCACCTGTACGTAGCGCGCCTGTCCCCACCTTGTTCAGCATGCTCTGTGAGTCAGTTACAATGATCACCTGTACGTAGCGCGCCTGTCCCCACCTTGTTCAGCATGCTCTGTGAGTCAGTTACAATGATCACCTGTACGTAGCGAGCCTGTCCCCACCTTGTTCAGCATGCTCTGTGAGTCAGTTACAATGATCACCTGTACGTAGCGAGCCTGTCCCCACCTTGTTCAGCATGCTCTGTGAGTCAGTTACAATGATCACCTGTACGTAGCGAGCCTGTCCCCACCTTGTTCAGCATGCTCTGTGAGTCAGTTACAATGATCACCTGTACGTAGCGCGCCTGTCCCCACCTTGTTCAGCATGCTCTGTGAGTCAGTTACAATGATCACCTGTACGTAGCGAGCCTGTCCCCACCTTGTTCAGCATGCTCTGTGAGTCAGTTACAATGATCACCTGTACGTAGCGCGCCTGTCCCCACCTTGTTCAGCATGCTCTGTGAGTCAGTTACAATGATCACCTGTACGTAGCGCGCCTGTCCCCACCTTGTTCAGCATGCTCTGTGAGTCAGTTACAATGATCACCTGTACGTAGCGCGCCTGTCCCCACCTTGTTCAGCATGCTCTGTGAGTCAGTTACAATGATCACCTGTACGTAGCGCGCCTGTCCCCACCTTGTTCAGCATGCTCTGTGAGTCAGTTACAATGATCACCTGTACGTAGCGAGCCTGTCCCCACCTTGTTCAGCATGCTCTGTGAGTCAGTTACAATGATCACCTGTACGTAGCGAGCCTGTCCCCACCTTGTTCAGCATGCTCTGTGAGTCAGTTACAATGATCACCTGTACGTAGCGCGCCTGTCCCCACCTTGTTCAGCATGCTCTGTGAGTCAGTTACAATGATCACCTGTACGTAGCGCGCCTGTCCCCACCTTGTTCAGCATGCTCTGTGAGTCAGTTACAATGATCACCTGTACGTAGCGCGCCTGTCCCCACCTTGTTCAGCATGCTCTGTGAGTCAGTTACAATGATCACCTGTACGTAGCGAGCCTGTCCCCACCTTGTTCAGCATGCTCTGTGAGTCAGTTACAATGATCACCTGTACGTAGCGCGCCTGTCCCCACCTTGTTCAGCATGCTCTGTGAGTCAGTTACAATGATCACCTGTACGTAGCGAGCCTGTCCCCACCTTGTTCAGCATGCTCTGTGAGTCAGTTACAATGATCACCTGTACGTAGCGAGCCTGTCCCCACCTTGTTCAGCATGCTCTGTGAGTCAGTTACAATGATCACCTGTACGTAGCGAGCCTGTCCCCACCTTGTTCAGCATGCTCTGTGAGTCAGTTACAATGATCACCTGTACGTAGCGAGCCTGTCCCCACCTTGTTCAGCATGCTCTGTGAGTCAGTTACAATGATCACCTGTACGTAGCGAGCCTGTCCCCACCTTGTTCAGCATGCTCTGTGAGTCAGTTACAATGATCACCTGTACGTAGCGCGCCTGTCCCCACCTTGTTCAGCATGCTCTGTGAGTCAGTTACAATGATCACCTGTACGTAGCGCGCCTGTCCCCACCTTGTTCAGCATGCTCTGTGAGTCAGTTACAATGATCACCTGTACGTAGCGAGCCTGTCCCCACCTTGTTCAGCATGCTCTGTGAGTCAGTTACAATGATCACCTGTACGTAGCGAGCCTGTCCCCACCTTGTTCAGCATGCTCTGTGAGTCAGTTACAATGATCACCTGTACGTAGCGAGCCTGTCCCCACCTTGTTCAGCATGCTCTGTGAGTCAGTTACAATGATCACCTGTACGTAGCGCGCCTGTCCCCACCTTGTTCAGCATGCTCTGTGAGTCAGTTACAATGATCACCTGTACGTAGCGAGCCTGTCCCCACCTTGTTCAGCATGCTCTGTGAGTCAGTTACAATGATCACCTGTACGTAGCGCGCCTGTCCCCACCTTGTTCAGCATGCTCTGTGAGTCAGTTACAATGATCACCTGTACGTAGCGCGCCTGTCCCCACCTTGTTCAGCATGCTCTGTGAGTCAGTTACAATGATCACCTGTACGTAGCGCGCCTGTCCCCACCTTGTTCAGCATGCTCTGTGAGTCAGTTACAATGATCACCTGTACGTAGCGAGCCTGTCCCCACCTTGTTCAGCATGCTCTGTGAGTCAGTTACAATGATCACCTGTACGTAGCGAGCCTGTCCCCACCTTGTTCAGCATGCTCTGTGAGTCAGTTACAATGATCACCTGTACGTAGCGCGCCTGTCCCCACCTTGTTCAGCATGCTCTGTGAGTCAGTTACAATGATCACCTGTACGTAGCGCGCCTGTCCCCACCTTGTTCAGCATGCTCTGTGAGTCAGTTACAATGATCACCTGTACGTAGCGCGCCTGTCCCCACCTTGTTCAGCATGCTCTGTGAGTCAGTTACAATGATCACCTGTACGTAGTGCGCCTGTCCCCACCTTGTTCAGCATGCTCTGTGAGTCAGTTACAATGATCACCTGTACGTAGCGCGCCTGTCCCCACCTTGTTCAGCATGCTCTGTGAGTCAGTTACAATGATCACCTGTACGTAGCGAGCCTGTCCCCACCTTGTTCAGCATGCTCTGTGAGTCAGTTACAATGATCACCTGTACGTAGCGAGCCTGTCCCCACCTTGTTCAGCATGCTCTGTGAGTCAGTTACAATGATCACCTGTACGTAGCGCGCCTGTCCCCACCTTGTTCAGCATGCTCTGTGAGTCAGTTACAATGATCACCTGTACGTAGTGCGCCTGTCCCCACCTTGTTCAGCATGCTCTGTGAGTCAGTTACAATGATCACCTGTACGTAGCGAGCCTGTCCCCACCTTGTTCAGCATGCTCTGTGAGTCAGTGACAATGATCACCTGTATACAGCTGGTTCTCAAGGCCAGCGGAAGGCTGCAGTGATTGTCTACACCTCTATTTTCAAACTAGGGGGTCCATGTGAACCCCCATGCACTTCATCTGCCTCAACACAGAGTCATCTGTATAGGTAATCATCACTTGGGTGGCAACTGTCATCAATCATTTGTTGAACTTCTGATTTTGCAGCGCCAGCTGGTCAGTCCCTGCACTCATGACCCAGTTTGATTAGAACCCTACACAGTCTGATTCTTGTTCTAACACTTGTTAGTAACATACTGGGTTAGTAACATACTGGGTTAGTAACATGCTGGGTTAGTAACATACTTGTTAGTAACATACTGGGTTAGTAACATTCTGGGTTAGTAACATGCTAGGTTAGTAACATTCTGGGTTAGTAACATACTGGGTTAGTAACATACTTGTTAGTAACATGCTGGGTTAGTAACATGCTGGGTTAGTAACATACTTGTTAGTAACATACTGGGTTAGTAACATTCTGGGTTAGTAACATACTAGGTTAGTAACATGCTTGGTTAGTAACATGCTGGTTTAGTAACATACTGGGTTATAACATACTGGGTTAGTAACATACTAGGTTAGTAACATACTAGGTTAGTAACATTCTGGGTTAGTAACATGCTGGGTTAGTAACATGCTGGGTTAGTAACATGCTGGGTTAGTAACATGCTGGGTTAGTAACATGCTGGGTTTGTAACATGCTGGGTTAGTAACATGCTGGGTTAGTAACATGCTGGCTAGTAACATGCTGGGTTAGTAACATGCTGGGTTAGTAACATGCTGGGTTAGTAACATGCTGGGTTAGTAACATGCTGGGTTAGTAACATGCTGGGTTAGTAACATACTTGTTACTAATGTGAGTCAACTGACAACAGGATACCCATGCTTGAATATTTAGGATCACATATCTAGTGCAGTCACCATTAACTGTGCAGGTTAGGATTGTTATACAACTGAAAAAAAGAAAAGAAATTACATCACCCTACTAAAGATTCAAACTAGATTTCCAAAATGAGAGCCAACTATTCTAATTACTTGTCCAGCTGCTCATTATAAAGACATTTTCAAAGAGTTTAGTGGGATAAGGTTAAAGGCTTATGCTCTATTGGGAGTTGAAGGGCATTTGAAGATACAATTCAAATACATTCCTGTGTGGGTTGCCGGGCCCCATTGTGGGGGAAAACAAGAATAGACCCAATGCCTGCCCAAAAGCATGTCGTAAGCGTTGACTAATTGGGCGCCTTCCCTGAAGTCGGAGTACATCTGCTTGAGAGGCAAGGAACCAACAGTCTGCATGCAAATGAGTCAGACCTGTAAAACATGTGCATGCGACACTCAGTTTCTGAAGCAGGACTAGAGTTCAGAAGTGGATAAACAACTGAAAATATCCACGAGTTACAGCCGGTGAACGCTCTTTGTATTATTATTTAAATTATTTCATGGTCTTAAGTATTGTTTTAATTGTATGTATATGGGTTTTTTTTTTTTAAATTTATTCTGGCATGTTTGTCTTTTTAGAAAGTTCTTGAAAAACTTTACCACAAATGAAATCATCAACTGGAGCCAGCTGTGTAAGGAATATGAAAAGGGCTTGAAAGACGCAACAACTTCTGTGTTTGCCACAGGAAACAAGATAGAAGGGGGAGATAAACGATGGGCGGACCTGAAGAACAGAGTTGTGGAACATGTAAGTGCTTTGGTTGATTTACCTGTATGTTACTGGAACCCACTAGGAATACAAAGAATAGTATTACAGTAACTGATAAGTGGCAACTGAGAATGATTTCAAGCGTTTCCCAGTTATTAATTTTAATAAGGACACAAATATTAGATTGCATGATTTAATGCTGTGCGTATTTCGCTGTATCTTGTCAAGTGTATACTAGAGCAAGAATTTATTAAACTTAGTATTAAAAAATGAATCTGTCTAACTTCTTCTTCTTTTTCTCTTCCACCATTTGCCTCAGGTTGTGGGGGGAGGGGGGGGGGGGGGGAGTAAGAATCATTTTTGCACTTTTTCCAATGCATGGTACAAGTTGGTGTTTATTTCTGTTAGGTTGCTCCTGATGTTGTCGCTCCTTCTCTTGTATAGTCTTCTCCTTGCTCTGTGTTCATTATATATTTCTTCAGCCTGGCTGTCTGTGGCAATTGGTACCAGAGCATTCTCATCAGGTGGCTGGACCATCTCATTTGTTGTTTTTTTAATGAATACCCTAACTGAACCACAAAATTGACTACATTCAAAAGTAACTTCCTGCGGATGAATGAAGTTTACAAGTTTATCATTGTGGCTTCTATGTTTCACAAAAGTCTGCAGTTGGTTGAGATATACAGAATTAAAAATAAAGAATTTTTTTAAACCAAAAAAATGGTTTACAATTGGGGCAGTTGTTTCCTCAAAAAAAAAAACTTTTTTTAAATTTAAATTGTTTCTTTGGTCTTTCTGTCTGTCTGTTGAGAAGGTGAAGGAATGACTTGAGCTTAAGGATTTAGGGCCACATGCCTAGTGCAGTCGCTACACTTTTATGTAGTTTACTGTAACACTGACATTAGAAAAATGTCCATCACCTACCAAAGATTGAAACCCAGGTCCCCCCCCCCCTCCCCCCAAAAATGGCTTTTCCAACCAGTGAAAAACTGACGCAGGCAATCTTTTTATGTACCCTGCTAGATGTTAAGTGGTTGTTGAACAAAGCTATTTTGTTTCACCGCTGTTTACCCACATACCACTGCGGTTCAGGCTCTGCACAGATGAAGTACTGAGGACAGGTCATTTGGCATTCTTTGAGGTTGAAGAAAGTGGCTGCAAATCACCTCGGCACCCACAGGCTTACACTTGAGGAGGTCATACTCATGATTGTAACGGGTGATATTTGCCTGCGGGGATTTGTCTAAAGTCGTCATCATCCATAAATTTTTTAATGTCATAACTTCTTTTTCTACTTCGCATTCACCGGATGTAAACTCTGGTAGAAAGTTCTGCCTGTTCATCCATTGCTGGATTTAATTCAGTCTTGTTCCAAAACTTGAGTTGCGAGTGCACATCCGTTCTGCAGATCTGGCTCATTTATGTGCAGACCGCTGGAAAGATACCTAATTATTCAACTCTTACAAAATGCTTGTTAGGGAGCATTGGGTCTGTTCGTTGCCTCGCCCACCCCAAATGGGCCTTAGAACCTACATGGGGACTTCATGTCTGATAAGAGTCACAACCATGAATGATGAGGATCATATGACAGTAACAGTTTTCTAGCTTATGAGATTTAAACAAAGTAATGTCTATTCTTTTTATATTTTGATTCAGATGTATGAAAATCCTAGTCATATTATGTTTGTATGACATTTGTTTTAAACATTGAAAAGAGGTTAACTGACCCTACAGGGGATTTTAATTTTGTTTGCATAATTTTGAGGTATGGATATAATATGAGCATCTGCTCTTTCAATTTGTTTCAGAACATTCGAGTCATGGCCAAGTACTACACCCGGCTTAAAATGAAGAGAATGGCAGATTTGCTTGATTTGTCAGAAAATGTAAGTTTACTTGTTACATTTATGGTGTCGTTTGACCCTTGAACTGTTTATCTTCTTATTAGCGTTCACCAACTATTAACTCCAGTGGAAAGTTCTGGCTGTTCATCCACTCTTGGACTTTAGTCTTGATCCACAACTTGAAGTTTTGCTTGCGCATCCATTTTATAGATCTTGGGGAAATAATATCAAATCAGTGATCATTGAGAGAAACAAATGGACTCTAGAACAAGGAATAAGAGTGTGAAAATATTTATGAGGACAAAGGTCGTACAGTTTTCTAATCTAACACACAGCACAATCTACAGGTACTTGGAAATATTGGCGCAACAGTGTGTAGTGTGTATGTTTTTTTTTTTGAAAACATGATAAATTCTGCAGTAAATATGTCATTTTACTCCAGCTTTCCACAGTAATGTGTTGAGTGTCCTAGTTGTTTGGTCAATAGCTCTTGTCCTGATCTACGGCATTCACTTGAAGTATCCAGCGTATCTGACTCAGTTTGTGACTGGAATCACTGGCATATGCATTTGAGCTCGTATGCTGTGATGCCGCAACCGTAACGACTAACTAACTGATCGTGTGTGCCTTTACCAGCACTAGAATTGGGTGGTCTCCAACTCGTTCATTACATTGGTCATTATAAAGTGTGTTATTTTGCATTTCTCTGAAGCATATGGCTCCGTACAATTTTCTAAATGTTACAATTGAGGAATAAAGAACAGAAGTTTAGGTACAATTGGGCGGATAAAGGAAAGAAGTTTAGGTACGGTTGGGGGAGAAAGGACAGAAGTTTAGATACACTTGGGAATGAAAGGGTGATAGATGAAAATATGTTTATAAAACTCCTTTTTTTTCTCTCTGACCATAGATTTTTGTGATTATAATCACATTTAAAGTTTTAATCTACCTGCGGGCTATTTATTCATTGTCCGCGTTTGCACACTATACAATATATGACTCTAATTATAATTACTTGCATCTCCTCTCCTCTCCAGGACATGACAAACAAACCCCAGTTTTTATTGGTGTTATGGGTTTTACTGAGCAATTTTACATGCTTTAATTGTAATGAATAACCTGGCTGTTTAGATGTGAGCAACTGTTTCATGTGTTGGATGTTCATGTGTGAGTTCCAGGGCCCCATTGCCAGGAAAACAAGAATAAACCCACTCCCCTCCTTCCCCAGCAAACATGTTGTAAGACTCGACTAATTGGGGACTTCCTTTGAATGTGACAAGACGCAAGGAACAACCAGTGGCACACAAATAAGCCAGTAAAACAGACGTACACACAAAACTCAGGTCCTGGCATGAAGCCACAACAAACAGGACTTTCTGTCGGAGCTTACTGTCAGTGAACCAAGAAGAAGAAGATATGTTGAATGTTGCTTTTTTCCTCTGTGTGTACTGGGGCTCCTTTTGGTGCCTGGGGGGGGGGGGGGGGGGAGACAAGAGAATAGACCCACTGAAACCCAGCAAGCATATTGTAAAAGTTGACTAATTAGCCTGTTTTCTTCAAATTTGGAGTGCATGTGCCTGAGAGGCAAAGAACCATCAGTCTGCATACAAAGCCAAATCTGCAAAATGCATGTGCAAGCAAAACTCAAGTTCTGAAACCAGGCAAAGTCCAGAAGTGGATCAAAACAACCAGAACTTTCTCCTGGAGTTTGCAGTTGCTGAACACGAAGAAGAAGATGAGAAATGTTAGTTCTACTCTTCCTTTTCTCTTCCCTTCTCCCTCCTGCCATCACCAGTTAATTATGGTCCTAGACAAGATAAGCTAATGTTATGCTCCATTTTATGCTGAAATATTTATTCTGTGATTGTTTACTTACAATGTCACAGGACACGGAGGAGTTCCTGTCGAACCTTGTGGTCAACAAAACTGTCCAAGCCAAGATTGACCGTCTGGCCGGAGTGGTTTGCTTTAGCCAGCACAAGGACCCCAACTCAGTTTTGAACACCTGGTCATCTCGGGTGTCTGATCTGATGCACCTGATCCATAAAACCAACCACCTGATCAACAAAGAAAACATGGTCAACAGGCTGGGGCCAGCAGAGCTGAAATTGTAGAATCATGTAATGATATTACCATGGCTGTTGAGTACAAGTGAGAGGGTAAAATTTGGTGGTTTAGGATAGTTACTTCAATCTGTTTTCACCTGCTGACCAGGAAAATATTTTGCAGACCAGCTGATGGTCAAAACAGATGTGGTTGGCACTTTGTTTATTAAATCCACTTGTTTAAAATTAAATTATTTGGGTAATACGACACCTACTACTTATAGTTTAGAAAAAAATAATAGAGGTGGTTCTAGCATTGTTTTATTTAGCCCTACATGATTATCTGGAAGTTTTCACAGACCCGCAACAGTCTGCGGCCTACAGATTAAAAAACATGGGTTCAAATTCAGCATTAACTAAAGGAAATTAATACATTGTAATTGAGGGTGTTCATGAAAATAACAAAGTTGAAGTATCTGAAAAATAATTTTTTTTAAATCAGTATTGTGTGTTTTGAGAGTTTAATGGGTTTGAATTGTCAGTTTTCTTGTTATTGCCTTTTTTTTAAAGCCTGTATGGACTACAAAAGACATATTTTGATGTGTGTCATAAGTGCGTGGCGTGTGGTTTTTCTTTGTCTGCATTTGCTCTTTAAAGGGCAGTTGGCTCATTTTGTCATGGTTTACAGCTAGGCTGTGGTATCTGCTCCTTTCAGTCCCAACAAATCTGATTTCAGCAAATCCTTGTTTTGTCGCCTTTTTACGAACTGCTAGTTAAGAAGCAGTGGGTTTGTTTCATTTCCCCCAGCAAGTGGGGGCCCTGGATCCACAAGGGGAGCTCACTTGTGTTTTTTTGTTTTTTAATCTGAAGACATTGATGTTTATAATATCCTTGACACAGCATGTTTTTAGAATTAGAATGTTACAAACCACACTAAAATCAAATTAACATGTATTGCTTGACCCAGTGCCTGTGTTTTACCAGAAATATCAAAGAGGTACAGACTAAGTAACAGAATAAGAAGAATATTACTAGAATATAGATTTGGAAATGTATCTTGTTGTAAGGCATAATTAATTACATAAATTGCAGGTTTTGTTTCTTCCTCTGTTGTGTTGTGGTTTACAGCTAGTTGCAATATCTGTCTCTTTTGGTCCAAACATTCTGATTTAAGAAAACTCCTAATTAGTTGTCCCTAATGATGGGGTTATTCAAGTGGTGGCCTGCAGAAACCTGGCATGTGGTCCGCAGATTATTGCCAGTTGTATTCATATAGATGATCTTTCTACGCTGGGGACCGGGCCTTTGGCCTATGTTGATACCCATTTGAAAGATATGTACCCCTGAGTAAAGCGAGTTGAAAAGCCCTAGCCCTGCTTTATGACATACTTGTTCAAGACAGTTTGTGTAATTTTACTTCTTTCTTCACCCACAGAATGGCATCCCAGAACCCATAATGGGAGATTTTGTTTTTGAAAATAGTGCAGATGCTGCCATGAAAATTTGACTTTACCTCATTCAATAAAAGAGCCAGGGTTTATTGTATGCTAGTTTGCCAAGTCATATGTCTTTTTTTTTTTAGACCCCTCTTCTTAACATTTTCTGATAAACTGTTATATTCAACACTGTTGTTTTATTGAATAAAACATATTCATGACTTCATTTACATTGTTCTGTACACAGATCTGACATAAATCATTTGTGTGGATAGCAAGTTTCTTTAAACAATTTCTGCCTCCTGTAGGTAACTCTTTCTCCCCTGACTAGGGTTTGGAACCAGAGAACCAGATTGAACAAATGTGACCAAAATCCAGCCCCTCATGCTGTCCTTTCTGTCTTCAAGCACTACACAGTATGTGATCTGCCCTTGATGGCGGTGATCATGGAGGAAATGTCCTATCTAATGAATTCTAGAAGTGATTTATAAAAAGATGCAGGTGGGGATTGATTGTTCTTACCAACCTTGAGTGGACAGAATGGCGCTGGCTCTGCACAACTAAGGCAGACGTGGTTAGTGCCTTGTGGGAGAGCGTGTACAGTTCGGAGGAGCAGATGGACCACCACAGTCTGGTGAGATTGAGGCAGGGGGAAGTGACGAGGGGTTCTGGCAGATGCTCAAGGCTTTTAGGAAAACAAAAACGGACATTTAATGGCACCATTAGTATTGGAACTGTGCACTGGCTGCTGAAGACAGGGACAGAGTGCTTTTGGGAATGCCCTGAGTGCTGTGATGTCGGTTCTTGACTTAACTCATCTCAACTCAACCAGCCTTGGGCAAGAGGATACTACAGAGTAGTACCAGATGTAACTTGTTAATGACTTAAGTATAGTTTTCTAGCAGCTTGACTGGGTAACACAGGTTACCTTTAGGAGACAATATTGAGGGCACAGTCAGTCAGATGGGAATTGTGATATGATAGTGATGAAATTGCTTTATCTGCCAGAGAGTGGAATGTCTTTGCTAATGATATAGCCAAGGCTGTACACTCTGCATGGTCTTGAGGCATGGCGTCCACCTCAAGTGCTGGAGGTCCCTGATAAAGACTAGGATTTTATCAAGTGGACTTCTAGTCATTTCCTCCTGGTCTCTGGGTAGTCAGATCAGACGCCCGTATGTATTGTTGTGCACATAAACAATTTCATGACAGTTGGGAATCGAAAAGAGTAGCCTAACGGCGATGCCCAGGCAAAAATTGGAGTTAAAAATCTACCCAAAGTATTTCAGGATCCTCGCCGGTGCTACGGAGTACATGCACTGCCCTGAGATTCTTTGACTCAGACTCGTGTTAGAAATAGAAAGGAGCACTTATGGGTTACTCATTACCATGAAGGCCATCGTATATGTCTGTTAACATAAAATATCAGAATAGATTTTCATGAAAGCAATAGCAACTAAATACAGTGGTTCTTATTAAGAGAATAGGAATGAAACGATAGCCGCATAAATAAATAAAAACAGAAGAGCAAGTGAAACATTTTAGCCATATTAAAAGACATGACACTAAAAACAATAATCTGGGACATTATGAAGGCAAGAGACAGACCATTTTACAAGTGGGAGGATAACATGAAAAGATGAGCGGACAGTAGTCTGAGAGAGTTTACATCCAGGGCAAAAGGCAGCATGTCGGAGATCCTTTGCAGCCAACCTTGATTGTGGAGAGTGCACCTGTTTGATTGATTCAATACAAAATTACACACTTGAGTGTTTTTTTCTGTGGGATCATTCATTTGAGCAGTATCATTTATTTAAAGATTTGCCATGAGCTGATAATAAAATTGTGCTTGTTCAGATATTGTCTTTTGTTTATTTCCATTCATCAGCTGTGAACTGCAAGTGGGAAGTCCTGGCTGTTTGGCTTTGAGCCAGGACCTCTTGGTGTGTACATCGCATTTACTGGCTATTTGGTGAACAGTATGTTGTTCCCTTGCCTCTCTGGCAGGTGTACTTCACTCTCTCTTTCGTTGTACCCCACCAGGACATCACACAAGCGATAAACACCTGGTGCCACCTTGCAGATGACGATCACCTATGGAGAGGTCCCAGAAACCCCTTTCTGCCGTTAGGCCATATCTATGGCCCTGCTATATTCAGGGCCTCCGGCAAAAGCCAGAGTGGGGCGTCAAATAACAAAACATAGCATCTCACATAGGGACGACTACTTAATTTTAAAAATAAGGTGTACTTCAAATGAAAACGTTGATCTTATCTCTAGGATGACTGTAGCCATTATGGGACATGATTTAACCTTACTTGTGTACTTTTTATCCCCAACAAAGCACAAACTGGCCAGCCCTCAAGGGAAAGCTGGGACACAACATAGGCATTTTCCGGCCAGCCTAGGTTTCTATAAATGCAGAGCCGATACATGGCACTGGGCTAACTCGAGGAATAGTCACGTCCTGCATATGACTGTTTAACTTCACATCCATATGTAGAACTTCCCCCTCAAGTGCAATTTAGATTTTTTTTTTAAAGAAACCCGAGTATTTTAGACTTGATAATGACCACCATATTGACAATATTTACATCAACACGTTAGACACCTTTAAAGTGGCTGCATCAGAACCCTTAGCACGACAGTATAGGAAAAGCATAGCATGGCTTTCCCTTATGGTTGAGACACTCTGACGAATGGAGCCATTGGTAGTGGACATTTGAACCTTTCTGGCACACTAGGGTGATTGGCTATCTAAACCTTTCTGGCACACAATTATACAACTGAACTGAGCACATCGACAATCTTTTATTGTAAGTACAGGTAGGACAATAGACAGTTGACTTCCGCTGTGTGGCCACCTATTGCCTGGACCCTCTGACCGAACGAGCTTTACAGTCGCCTCGCTCCCAGTGCGTCCCACAAGCAATCTCCTGGTGTACAAACCACAGCACGGCGAGAACGCTTCCTAACTATTGACACACTGACCAACCAAACTGTCACAACCTCTGTCTAGCACAGGGTCAGAGTGCCAAGGTTGGACATTCTCTCACAGCACATGTACATAAATACTCTACACAAGAACTATCCTATTCTAACAGAACACTGCACATAAACTATCCAGTCACTAACAGAAATATCCTAACTCTAATACTAACACTGTCTTGCTAAACGTCCTCTCTCCCTGACCGACGCACACCGAATGTCCTCTGTCCTTCCACCTCGTGTCTCTTGACCCGATCACCAGCTCAGTCCCAAAAGCGGTAATTGTGTTGCGGATTTGTCCACAACACAGTTCACTCTTTCTTGCCGTGGCCAAACGCTTTATCCTGAGCGCTGGTTTCGCCGTGCAATAACAGAAAAGACTTGACCAGTCACGGCCCTGACCTTTGTGTCAAACCTGGGGTGTCACCTCAACACGCACACCTTACGGTGTGGTACATTCCGCCACTGACTGTATTCACAGGGTTGTGACACCAGTGGTAGTGGACATTTGAACCTTTCTGGCACACACTAGGGCGATTGGCTATCTAAACCTTTCTGGCACACAATTACACAACTGAACTGAACATCTAAACCTTGTTTGTCACACAGTAGGACATATTTGACGGTCAAGCTTCTAAACCTTGT